ACTTGGAGTACTGTTTTACAGGTAGTCCTCGACTTACAATAATTTAGAGTGTTACAGTGGCACTGAAAAAAAGCGACTTGTGACTGTTTTTCACACATACGACAATTGCAGCACCCCCATGGTCATGTGATTAAAATTTGGACACTTGGCAATTGACTCATATTTATGACGGTTGCAGTGTCCCGGGGTCATGTGATCACCTTTTGCGACCTTCTGACAAGCAAAGTCAATGGAAAGCCAGAATCAGTAAGTGTTACTAACTTAACAGTTGCAGTGATTCACTTAACAACTGTGGCAAAAAGCTCATAAAATGGGCCAAAACTCACTTAATAACAGTCTTGCTTAGCAAGAGAAATTTGGGGCTCAATTATGGTCATGGAGGCCCAGTGGTTAGAATGCGGTACTGCAGGCTAACTCTGTCCACTGCCAGCAGTTCGATCCTGACCAGCTCAAGGTTGACTCAACCTTCCATCCTTCCGAGGTCAGTAAAATGGGGACCCAGATTGTTGGGGGCAATAGACTGACCCTGTAAACCGCTTAGAGAGGTTTGTAAAGCACTATAAAGCGGTATACTGTATATATCTAAGTGCTATTGCTATAGTCGTAAGTTGAGGACTACCTGTAGTTCTTCTTCCGTGCCAGAAACCCCACCCTTGAGCAGATCTAGAACTCCTTCCACAAACCAGTCAGTGATAGCAGAGAGTCTGGTAGGAATAGATATCATATACAAAAGAAAAGCATCCGAAACTAATTTGATTTTAATTACAAGAAATATCAAACACTTTTTGGTCACTGTACAAACAGTCTGATAGTAGTAGGTTGATAGTTAAACATATCAAGAGGGAGGCTGTATAGACGTTCTCTAGCAATCCCATAAAATGAGCTATTACAAAATGATAAATGTAATGTACACAGTGCCATCTTGCTACATCAGTTGCAAGGATTATTGAAAAAATAATTAAAAAAAAATATAAGAATCTGTGGGGATCTAAGAAGTAGGTTTCAGGATTAAATCTTGGATGGGGAGGGCGAGGTTTGGAAATGCATCCACGTAGTAGAGAATAGCAAAGGGGTGGTTTTATTCTCCCAAAGGAAACTGGAGATCAGAGACCAGCCCGAATCTCATTTGTAGTCAGTAACCAAACCTCATTAATGGAACAGCTTTAAAATCATATCACAGAGATAAAACACACTCACCAAGGTGGGGGGGATGTCCAGGTTTCCCTATTTTAACATGGAGATAAGTAGAGGGGCAAATTGGAGTTACAATATACATTGGGGCAGAGCCCTCTAGATCGGGAGTCCCCAACCGTGGCAACTTTAAGACCTGTGGACTTCAACTCCCAGAATTCCCCAGCCACCCATGCTGGCTGTGGAATTCTGGGAGTTGAAGTCCACAGGTCTTAAAGTTGCCAAGGTTGGGGACCCCTGATCTAGATAGCTTGGACTACAACATCTGTCATGCTCACAGGACTGAGAGTTTTGAATGCTGTAATCTTCACCACTCAAGAACCCACTTTTAACCCCAACCTGATACATGGGACGCGTTTTTATTTCTTTTTATATAAATTAGAAACCTACTCCTTTTTCGGAGTATCTTCACAATGCAGATATACTGCTTTAGGAACTGTAGCTTATGTTAGGTGGGTAGCATCACCCAGTAAAGAAGAATAAAACAGTGGAACTGTAACTTTGCAATAGTCACACCCATATCTTTACTTTCCCCCCCCTCCTTTCACCTTTTGGTCATCCCAATGTTTTTATTTGTCTTCTTCATAAATAGCATCACACTTCTATCGTCGTTACTTTCAGGGAATCCATTGTTGAAAACCAGAATTCCAGAGCAGTCTCCTGCCATAAATGAGAACTGATGCACTATTTGGAGCAATAACAGGTAATATATTGTGATTATCTGATGAAACACTCTTCACTCCTGTTTGTAGTTGGCTGCAGTTGGAAGATATCTCCACCCATAATAAATCTGAGGATTGACCAACATTAATTATGGGGCTCGTTCTGTTGAAACTGTCTGTACGTTACTTCCTGGAAAACCCAACCAATCAGTCCTCAAACATTAAAACTCTTCTTATACCTCACATGGAGAATTCCAAATGATGGAGAGCCTCCATTTCCTTAAGCTTCTCTGATACCCCCTGCCCAAACTTACATTCTTCAGCTAAGAAACACCACTACCACTATATTCACTTCCAGTCTTGAAACTGCTTGCTGGGACATGGGATCCAGCAAAACAAAACTAGAAAGCATGTTTCCCACCATCGCCAAGAAAGCTTTCTAAGAAAGGATACGTGACACAAAAACATGGTCACAACTTAAACAATCTTTACCACTCCCCCATCCACACTCGCCTGTCTCGTTTGCAAAAAAGCAGAGATTAATAAAACATGTCTGGTGCAATACTAGAGGCTTAATCCCAAAGGTGCTTTTTCAAGAGGCAACTGGACTTCCTTTGTTCTTCCTTGAAGACGTTTGCTTCCCAGAACTGAAGAAGCTTCCTGAATGCCTGAATGAGAATTGAAATGTCTTCTAGGAAAAACAAATAAAGTCCAGTTGTCTCTTGAAAAAGCACCTTTGGGACAACCATGACCTGGATGACTGAGAATCTCCATAGACTGTTAGAGGGTAAGTAACTGAGAACTACCGCAAAGATATTTAGCTCTTTATGATCAGAAGGATGCATCTGGCTTTTTAATTGGCATGCGCTATCAAAGCCAGACAAAAATATTGAATTTTAAACAAAACATGAGCTTGCACGAATGCTCTCTGTGAAATTAAATATTGCTTCCTTCTTTCTTATAATAAAAATTACAACACAGTATCAACTTCTGGAGAAGTTCATTGGCTGCATCCAGAATTTCTGGGAGCCACAGGTTATACATACCTTATCTCAGTGTTTCCTCAACCTTAGCAACTTTAAAATCAGTGGACGTCAAGTCCCAGAAGTGAATTTCAATTCCCATGTTGGCTGGGGAATTCTGGGAGCTGAAGGCCACTCATCTTAAAGATGCTAAGGTTGAGATCACTACCTTATCTTGTAGCAATGTCAGTTGTAATATACTGAGCACCTTTATTCTACTTTAATTCTGACATATTTAAATCTTGTCCCATTTAAGCAGAGAGACAGGAAGTGGTAACACACTCACTCTGGCAATAAAAACAACTTTTCCTTTTTGTAGCAGATAAATACTTCAGGCAAGGCCCTATACATTACAGTTCTATATACCTTTTCCATTACGATAAATAAATCGGGAGTAAGAACACAAAAGCAGAAACACGGTGGAATCAAGGAACATATAGACTAGATCCGTCTGTAAGCAATCTCTAAGACAGCTTTTCTCAACCTTGGCTACTTTAAGATGTTGGCCGGGGAATTCTGGGGGGTGAAGTCCACACATCTCAAAGTTGCCAAAATTGAGAAACAATGCCCTAAGGAGCCGATAGTCAGATCTAGAGTTGGAACAGGAGGATGGATAAAGTTTATGGGCAGAACCAAAGGGTACAGTAAGGGGAAGGCATTATTTCTATATAAGTATTCTTACATTTAGCACAAACAAATCTACAGCTGTACCACCACTTCTGCATATGTACAGAGGTGGGCAGATTTGTTTCCCAACTGTTTACCATTAACTTCCAAAAATGAGTTGACAATGTTCCCGCAGGGCAGTTTAGGGAAGCCAAGATAGCTGAAACAGAATATCACTTTAAAAAAGAATGTAAAAGAAATAACTGATGGGCAAAAGGACAAGCTATTAATTTGATGGATCTGGGATTATAAAAGTGTTGTTCAAAAATATGTTGGCCAGTATAAATCCCTGTCCAGTTATTGCTGCTTCCAGCCCACTGAATTGTATTAACTTAAAAGCACCTGGTTTAAAAAGTTATCCAGTTCACATTGGATAGAGATGCTATCTACGGATGCAACCCTGCCTTACCACCCAACCCCATCACAGCTTTAATGGAGAAAAAAAAGATGCATACTTTTTTTCCACACGAGCACTCCAAGTTTTGTCCTTCATAAATAAATCCATTTTAAAAGTGACTAGCCAAAAGAGAGAGAAAAATAACACAGAATTGTTCCAGCTACTATATCGGTTGAAAACGTCCTTTTTTGTACATGACTGGATTGACAAAAACAGATGCTTCTTTTATACAGGGTGCAAAAAAAACACTGAGGTGGGCCACTGGCAGAAAATTCTGTCCCTTGTCAGAGGCAGATAGGTATGTGGCTAATTGCAGTCCCCTCAAGGAACCAAATGTCTTTTCTTCATTCTTCCTGCCAATTCCTTTTCATTGACTTCAAGAAAATGTGGTGAAGCTCTTCTGTCTTCCCTCTAATCATGTCCTTGTCTTAACACAAGATCATCTCTTAAGAAGACGTCCCACAACTGCTTGGATACACGATACTGCTTGGATATACAGATCCACAGGTTTAAGAGAAAAAACTGAATGAATTCTGAAATGGAGGCTATTGAGCTAGGTTGTGTCCTTCCGTTGAGAAGAGACTGGTGGGCAGAAGAAGGCTTCATACCTTTGAATGTCCCAATAGCCTCTACATTGCTAGAAGAGACTGGCTACATAGTTGGAGATTATTAGACAGAGTTTCCCAAATCGTATCATTCTCTCTTACTCTGTACTTTCAACCATGTGCCTCTAGGTTAAGACTGTGTCCTCATATTCTCTCAGTCTGTTCTCTTAGGTGACCTTTCCTCAAAACATATTCCAAGTTCATAGAGGGAAGCCAACAGTGGGTTAGAGACCTGGAATTTAAGACAGTTAAGTAAAAAATGATAAACATAAGAGCAGATGATGGACAGAGAGTTTCGTAATAGGCTCAGTGGTATGTCACTTTGAGTCCAGATAGAGAGATGGGCTGAAGCCAAGACGTATTTTTCCAGTACAAAGAAGTTGCACTGTCCCAGGCCTTGGAAGGGATACAAGAAGTGGGGAAAGAACAAGGATTATTATTAAGCACCTTCTGGAACTTATTTTTCAGAAGTAGCATCATGGAATGTGCCATAGGATTCTGATTGCTGTTTTCCTGTGTGAACCCCACAATAAGAAATCTGAAGGTAAAAGGCTTCTCTACGGGAAGAGGCAGGGATAAATTGGTGGATTAGCTAATAGTCATTTGCTGGCCATATTTGGCCAAAGGGCTGCCAGCTACTGACTACTGTAGCAGAGGCTGGAAAACTCTGCAAGAGTGGGCAGGCAGAAATCTTAGGGTGGGGAAAAGAAAGAGCAAAGCCAAGATGTTCCTCCTCCTATAACCCAATCTCTTCATCTTGTTCATCTTCAAAACTGTAGCCCTGTCCCTCCTCTTCTTCTTCTTCCTCCTCCTCCTCCTCTTCTTCCTCTTCTTTTTCATCCTCCTGCTGGGAGCATCCCAGTGGGCTTGAGCTCTCATCCCTCAGTACATCCTGATCCTGCCCTTTAATATTGTCCCAGTCTTTATCCATCACTCCCAGCACATCCTCCAAGATGGAAGGCCCCAAGTCCAGCTGGAAAGAGAGAAGGGATTCAGCGTGGTCCAGTGTGGGACTCTCCAGGGAGAACTTCTGTTGCAGGTCCCAACCTTCTCCATTAGGGGGCTTCCAATCAGCCTTCTCTGGGCTCTGCAGTACTACAAAGCTGCCATCAGGGGTTGATGTTGCTGGACTCTGGACTACTCCATTCCCACTCCCAGGAGGGGAGAGCAGTTCAAAGCAACCAGAAACATCTCCAGGAGAACCAAGAGACCCAGGAGACACTGCTACATCGTGAGGCAAGCCATTGGTCTTGGTGCCCCCATGGTTGCTGAGGAATGATGTATCTCCAAAAGCATCGCCCCCATGGCCAATGTGCATCGTATGTCGAAAGTCCCCCAAAGGGGCGCTAATCATTGCTCGATCCAGACGGGGCCTCTTTTTGGAATGAGAAACGGGGGACTGCTTGAGGATGGGCATCTGAAAAGAGAGACATAACATTAGGATCCAAAGCATTCCCACTGGAACCAGCACAGCCTCCAAGTTAAATTACTTTCCTAAAAACCCAGATTAGAATCACAAAATCTGCCACAAAATCCCCCACTGACACCCATGCACAGCCTAGGTCTCACCTTTTGTGAGGCCCACGAGAACAAAGTGCTATGATGAGGATAAATAAAAGATTGCACATCTTATTGCAAGTTAGGAGCCTGAAGCACGAAACCAAAGCACGAGCTATTTATTTATTTAGAAACATTTATATAGCCGAAGCATGAAACCAAAGCATGAGTTATTTACTTGTTTGTTTATTTGTTTAAAACATTTATATAGCCGCCTACCTTAAAGCCAATTCTGGGCAGCTCCCAATCAACTCCCATTGAATTAAGCCTGTCATTTTTGCCCTAACTGAACTTAATCGATTTTTAATCACACCATATATTAATTAGTTTACCAATGGCAGGATGTTTGCCTTTAGTGCTTTGCGACAGCCCTCCACTGTAGCAGTCCTTGTCTTCCCAAATTTTGCAGTTTCCTTGACCTCACACTTACTGTCCCTCCTTTCTAGCCAATTCTGAGTTTATCTGCAACGTAGCTAACACTTTGGGCACATGACTCATCATGAAATCTTCTGCCGTAATACATTTGTTCAACTTGAAGGCAGCTAAGAGACTGTTGTGGCTTTCTTCTAAGAGATTTAGCCCAGGAACCAATGGTATGAAAGAATAATAATATCAGAAGACAGTTTTCAAAGACAGTTACCCTGTCTGGATTTATTTTCTTCCAAAGTGCTGATTATGGTGACCATGAAGCTATCATGTTTTAGCTCCTCTGAGATAGAATAGACAAAAGAAAAAAAATCCTTACACCAAGGTTCTCTCTTGATTTTTGCTCATTCTACCGAATTCACATAAAACCTGCTAAAACTCACAAGGTTGATGCAAGAGTTTTAGAGGAGCTGATCTGGCCTTACCTTCCTCTCAGTCTGAGGGGGCAAACAGTTTAGATTTTGTGGCAGGCAGAGCCTGGGATAAATGAAAGAGTTGCAAGAGTATTGCTCCCTCCTGACCCAGCTTAGGATATTTTTCACCTACTGGCCACCCCCTTATAACTTGTCCAACCAGTTCTTTGATTGAGGAACACTTAGGCTGCTCTGGAAAACTCAAGGATAGAGGACAGAAGAAGATTTTAAGGACGCCCGAGAGGAAAAGACCAAACTAAATATCTTTGGTTACTTCTGCGACAGGAGCAGAAATTAGCTGTCTTCATAGCAGAATATAATATATTCAAGATGTCACAGATCTTCTATAGGATCTATGCTTGAATTTACACAAGACACTAAGACATTATTTACTTAATTGTGATTTATTAAAAAACCCACAGTTGCCCAGTTTCAACACATTAACCCATGGTTAGGAAACCCCAATAGGTTCACTCAGCACACTAATGGGGTAGCTTGTTGTATGAATCCAAACTAGATCTATCCATGGGTAACTGGAATGGATGCATTATCTAAGAAATGGGGAATTCCTTTCAATACAATGCGGTGAACACTCTTGGTAATCAAATCAGAAATATTGGACACTTTGGTATGGAATTTGAGGTGTGGTAGGAAGTGGCTGTTAAAGTGGGAGAGAGTTTTCCTTCCCTTGACTCAAATACAGAAAGTCAGATTGCAAGGAAGATCTCCCTCCTTCAAAGTTTTGGATGTTTGCCCCCAAGTATTGCCCTGATGGCATCGCTGCCCCCCTCCCACACACACACACCAGGTGGACCAGGCCTACAGATGCTGGCGTTTCTTGTCTCTCCTTGTACCTGCCCTACATTGCAATGTTCTTGTCGGAGGTGTGATGATCTAATAGAGATGATTCATGTTGAATGGGAACAATGGAGCTGCACTGGGGGTGGAAGGGAGACATTGTCTGGGCAAGTGTAAAGGAGGGAGGCAGAGGAGGGGAGAGTCAAACAAGGCTTCTTCTTCCCTCCTGAGATCAGAAAGTGCTGACAGGCGTGGAAAACACAGGCGTGGAAAATGGCCTAAGAGTTGACTCAGCTGTGGGTGGTAAATAAACCCAGGGTAGGTATCAGGAGTCAGGGGGAAAAAAAACCTCAGGAGTCCTGAATTCCTTTGCCTTGTCTCCTGAGCTTCACTGTTCCCTTTCCTTGGAATCCAGGAAAAAGATCTCCCACTTGATTATGAACCCCTTTGATACTGATACCAATTTCAGGAGTTGGCAGAAGATGGATGGATGGATGGGGGCCATTTCCTTTGTGGTTGAGAAGGGAAGGGGAATAAAGGACATTACAAATATTCCTTGACTTACAACAGTTCATTTAGTGACCGTTCGAAGTTACAACAGCACTAAAAAAGGTCACTTATGACTGTTTTTCACACTTACAATCTTTGCAGCATCCCCATGGTCACGTGATCAAAATTCAGACTCTTGGCAACGGTTACAATGTCCCGGGGCCATGCGATCAGCTTGATTCACTTAACAACCATATTACTAACTTAACCACTGCAGTGATTTACTTAACAACTGTAGCAAGGAGGGTCGCAAAATGGGTCAAAACTCAACAAATGTCTCACTTACCCACAGAAATTTTGGGCTCAGTTGCAGTCATAATTCCTTTTTTACTGTATTCCTTTTTTACTGGAAAATATTAGAAGCACACAATGAAAAATAGCCCAACAGTGTTGAAGGAAATAAAAGTTATTCTTTTATAAAATTGTAGAAAAATAATTGTAGAAATGTAATGTCAATATGTGAGACTGTCTATTTAACACAAATTTAACACTGTAATGCAAATGTAGCAATGCACTGCCAAATGTGTGAGAAGGTTTGTTCAATGTTTACTGCCTAAAAATCCTCCGGACACAGGAACTTACACTTTGAATAGAAATCCTACTATCAAAGAGGGGGATTTTGACCCTAGGTGAAAATTACAAATAAACAAGATAACAGCAGATGGGTGGAAGATGTCAGGATGACTTTTAGTACAACTTCAAAGTACATTATAAAGATGAAAGAGCTTCTTAGATGTGACATGCATTGTAGAGGTATAAGATGCAGAGCTTGAAACCAGGCCAGTGCGCTCCTGGAAACCAATCTATAGGGAAGGATCCAGGAGGCCGCGTTTGCAAACGCATCTCTTCACTTCTCTTTTTATTCTTTTTACGGTATGTTATTCTCCAATAAACCTTTGTTTTGTTAACCAGACTTGTCTTCGTATTGTGAGTATCAAAATTTGGGGTTTTTACATCTCACAATCTTGGTGGAGAATGCGGGCATTAAGAGTCTCTAGGGGACACTGTTTTCAGTAAAATCAGGAGCTGATTTCAACTGCCTGGAGTTATCTGAGATCTAGTTTCCCCTTGCAGGCTCCGAGCCAAACTAAATTGACAACTCTGGTTTACAAAAATCAAAGAACAGGAAAATAGGAAGAAAGTCAACAACTGAAGCCCAGACCAGGTAACCCAGTGCACTGGCCCAGGTAAGACACTTTTGCCCCGAAGTAGGGAACCATGCAATTGTACCTGGGTGGTCAGGAGAGCGATTGTGGGAGGATTTCTGCGATAACGGCTGTGTGAGTGTGATGGGCTGTGTTCTGGGAACACTGGTAAGTCCAGAGGAGTGCGGACCTGAAAGGTTGAGGTCCCTTACTCCCGTGAGGGGGAAGGCCAGCCTGAAGGGAAGCAAACTGGTGTTAAGAGTTTTGAGTGGCCGTCAAATCGAGAACCTCAGGGAATCATAATCAGGGAAACTCTCAAGAAGATGGGTTGTTGTTGTAAGTCATTGTTGTAAACCTAAAGAAAAAAAAACTGTAAAATTGAGTAGCTTCAAACAGGAAAACCCATCTTGCTAGCAGCAGATGCCTTGTGTCTGTGAATGGGTTTCCCAGGCTCTGCCCATGTGGAGCCAGGGTAGAAAAGGAAGTTTTGGGAAATAAGGGGAATGAGAGAAATGTGTGTATATCTCTGTGTGTGAGTGAGAA